CAGGTGAAATATTTGCTCTTGATGTCCCAGAAGCGGTCGCCATAGTCAAACCTGTCAGAGGAGCACAGGTGGCTGTGGGACCCAGACCTGACTGCCCAGGCCGGGCCAGAGCCTCCGTGGACCCCGCTCCGGGGGCCCTGCCCCTCTCCCGACAGGCCGACCCTCGCGTGTTCTGTGGACCCGAGCACCAGCCTGCCTGGAACTGTCTGCGTGCAGGAGCCGGAGCCCCACCCACGCTTACTGACAAAATTCTGTGAGCTCGGGCCTATTTAGCACGCCCTCCGGGGACACTGCTGCAACCCGCTGAGCTCAGCTCCAGTGCACTCGTGCAACTAGGCGTTCCCTTCAGTGCTGAGTCCCAGGCCCGCGCCCCTCCCGCCCCTGGCCGAGCCCAGCCTCACCCCAGCTCCTCCCCGGTGCGGATGTCCCGGGAACTGAAGAAGGCGATGCGTGGAAACCGCAGGTCTTGGTGCAGCATGAAGACCCGGACAGGGATGATGTTGGGGTCACACAGGTGGTTGATGAACCGGCTGATGTTGCCGTAGTAACGGGCATCGATGCAGTACACCTCTCCATCCTGAGGGAAGGGTGGCACTTTTCAGTGCCGGGCCCATGGTCCCCCCCATGCCCCCCCAGTCCCCCTGCCCCAGGTTTCCATGTGAGGCCTGGGAGTAGGGGACAGCGGGGCCTCCTGCCCACCTTGTTGTCCAAGTCAAAGAGATAAGAATCATCCTCTCGGACGTCAGCCTCGGCATCGGAGATCAGCTCCCCGACGTACCTGCCGGGCAGGGCGGGGGCTTCTGAAGGCGGGCAGGGCGGAGCCGGCCCAGCCGCGTCTCCTCACAACCCCACGGCCCGCTTCACTGTCAGACGCCCGGTCAGTGTCCGTGAACGTCACTGCTGCACAATGCTGGCCCCGCGTGGGGCCCGCGGCCTAGTGGGCCCAGAGGACAGGGACTTCATCTGGGAGGGAGGAGGTGCTGGCCCCCTCGGGGCAGGACCAGGAGGATGAACATGGGGACACTGGCATGTGAGGTCCCCACTGGAGAGTTGCAACAGGCAAGTGTGGTGGCCAGGGGAGGTGAAGGGATGGACCCAGGGCTCTGGGTTCGGGGGTGAGCCGGTGGCAGTGGCTTGGGTGGGACAGTGTTCAGGTTTAGACATTGGGAGGTTTGTGGGCGTGGCAATGGCAGGCTGATGGACAGGCGTCAGGGCTGCTGGAAGGGATGAAGCCGCAGGAGAGGAGGGGTTCGGGGGAGAAAGGTGGCACTTGGAGAGTCTGCCCGGGAACCGAGGCCGAGGCACAGGGTGCAGGGTGGGGGGCAGAGGGGTGAGGGCAAAGGCAGGATGAACAATGAGCGATGGTGGGGAACTGAGGCCCAGGGAGAAGGGCTGCTTGCTTGAGGAGTTGAGAGATGACATGACAGAAAAGGTCGTGGGTTCGATCCCTGGCCCTGGTCAGGGCACATGCAGGAGGCAACCAATCAATGTGTCTCTCTCACATCAGTGTTTCTCTCCCTCCCTCCCTCCCTCCCTCCCTCCCTCTCTGAAAACCAATGGAAAAATATCTTCGGATGAACAACAACCACACAAACGAAAGGCAGGGAGAGGGGATGTGAAGCTGGGAAGTGGGGGATGTGGGCAGTGGTGATGGGCAGCCCTGTGGTCTGGGCAGAGTGGGTGAAGGGATGGACCCAGGGCTCTGGGTTCGGGGGTGAGCAGTGGCAGTTGGGGCGCTTGGCTGTGGGATGGGGGCAGAGCAGCTGGAGGTGGGATGCTGAGAAGAGCGGGGACCTGTCAGGGAGGAGGCAGAGAGGGCAGAAGAGGCAGCAGTGGCCCCGGGCCCACCCCTCACCCCTGCCCACTCACTCGCAGATGAAGGTTCCTTGGGGGATGGTGTGCAGGGCGCGGACCCCCCAGCCCATCTTGGCTGTTCGGTAGAGCTGCAGTCGAACCCTAGGGGTGGGAGAGAGAGTGATGCTGGGTGCATGGGAGACCATGCACGTGTGTGTGCGTGTGCGCATGCAGGGCCAGGGCCTCACTTGATGCCGCTCTGCACCACCCGGTTCTTGCAGTTTCTCCAGCAGGAGCAGGCCTGGTTACACTCGAAGATCAGCGGGGGCTCGATCTTGTTAAATTCCTGGAGCAGCCGCCCGTCCTGGGGAGGGGGGGAGGCGGTGGTTTCTGTGTGGTCCCACCTCAGCTGCCCAGGTCCCCCGAGACCCCACAGAAAAATCCTCCCCTGGGCTCAACCCAGTCAGTGGACACCACATATGCTCCGAGGTCAGAGGACTGGACTCCAAACCCTCCCTTGATCTGCAGGTGTCGGGGCCAGGCCCATCTGTCCTAGCAGCATCCCAGGAATTCCAGGTCTGCCCTGCCCTCTCTGCCAGCCGCGCCAGGGCAGGAGGTGAGGGAGAGGCGAGGGTGCGTACCTTGTCATACCAGCAGCGAATGCTGAGCTGGCCGCACAGGCAGTTGGAGCTGGAGCAGTCGTCCACACAGGTGCAGTGCTGGGGGGAGGCAGGGTGAGCTGGGCCCGGAATCAGCCCTGCCTCAGCTCCCAGTGCGCCTGCCCCCACTGCTGCCCCTTCTCTCGGGCCCATGTTTTAGAATCAAGATGCTGCTGGAGGTTTGTCCCGGGGCCACCCTGCGCCTGTCAACCCTGCGTGTGTCCTGGCGAGAGGACGCTTCCCCGGGGGACTGAGCCCAGGAGCTCCCTCCGCCCTCACCTGCAGGTGGGTGATGTTGCGGTCAATGTTCATGGTGGAAGTCTCGCAGTTCTCCGAGATGTACTTGTAATCCTCGGGGCACGGCTCCCCGTCCACACCGTTGACGCAGGGAATGGGCACGTTCTCATAGCCCCGAGCCACGTCCCTGGCAAAGGGAGATGAGGTGAGGGCTCCCTGGGTGCAAGGGGAGGGCTGGGCGGTTCCTGGGGCGGGCGTGGGCTGGGGGAGGGAGGGAGGTGCTCTGGGTGTTCGCCGGGGAATGGGGAGTGAAGTTGCCAGATAAAATTCAGATTTTAGATAAACAAGAAATAATTGTTTGGTAGAGGTCACGGGTGGGCAAACTTTTTGACTCAAGGGCCACAATGGGTTCTTAAAGTGGATCGGAGGGCCGGAACAAAAGCATGGATGGAGTGTTTGTGTGGACTAATATAAATTCAAAGTAAACATCATTACATAAAAGGGTACGGTCTTTTTTTTCAATAGTTTTATTCATTTCAAACGGGCCGTAGTTTGCCCAAGGCTGGTCTAGGTACATCCCAAATGCTGCACGGGACACTTTTATATTAAAAAAAAGTTATCAACTGTTCATCTGATATTCAAATTTAACTGGCTATCCTCTATTTTTATTTGCTATATTTGGCAGTCCTAGGAGGGAGACCCGAAGGTGGCTCTTGGGATTCTAAGGGCCCTGGGGAGGGCTAGGGCGCAGGGGGCCTGGGGGAGGGCTAGGGCGCAGGGGG